GAAGGAAGAAGAGCAAGTTGCTCTTGCTCTTCAGAACGATTCAATAGTATGGAAGAAGATTCAATAGTATGACTACCTGCTCTACTTCAGAAGGATTCCATAGTAAATGGACATCTTCATGGTCCTCTAACTTGCGGCAGTAGTTACGAGAGGGAGGGCACTTGGTCGAGCGCGCCGCGGGCGGGACTGGAGGAGCTGTGGGTAAGCTATCAGCGTATCAATAGTTGCTTCGCGGATGTGGTCATACGGACGAGTCATCACACCGATCTCTTCTGGATCCAGGACTACCATCTCCTCATGCTCCCGCAGTACCTCACGCGGAAAATACGGAAGGCAAAGTAGGGCGGAACCATGTTCTTTTGTGACACTATATATTATAACTTAGATATGACAGGCTAGAAGGTAAATGAATGAATGAATGAATGACAACATATAACTTAGATTGATAAACAGTTGTCATATCAGTCAGAAGCTTATTAATGTACTTAGATGGACAGACTGTCACAAGAAAGTGACCGTACTAAGGTAAATCAAAAAGAGCGTTCATATCAGAAGCATATTATAGATAGATAGATAGAGAGACAGACAGACAGACAGTTACAACAAGAAGGTGACCGTACGAAGGTAAGTCAAAAGAACCAACAATTTTTCTACTTATGGGCACGAGCTAAGTAAGTACTTGATGAGGCCGTTGTATGTACATCTAAGAGATTGATTATCTGCTGCAAGGATGTCTTAATCAAAATCATATTCAAGAAGTCAGCATTATCCAGTCTCCATTCTACGCATGATTATTGCCTATCCTGCCCTTGACGTTCATCATTCCCCTTCCTCTCCTTCATTCCTCTATCGGCTTGTACCTGCACACACCGTTCCCGAGCTCAGACATTTTCAAGTGTCTCCCATGGCGGGAAGAAATACTACGTGCGATGCTATGCGCAGATCTTGTAGGATTTCAGTTTTTCGAGTATGTCCGCAAGTTCTTCATCACTGTAAAAAAGTTCTTGGGACTCGACTACCAATTTCTGCGCTACGGGCAGATGGCAGTGGAATACGGCGGCAGGAATGTAATTTATGACCAAGGAATTTGGAAGAGTGCTTGAGGAAATGGGTGTGCCCAGTCCTGGCTGATTGCTGTTGCGGTCGTGGTTTATTCCACTTCTTTTAGTAATTACACTGTGATAGAAGAGATGATGAATGAACTTCGAATTTTCCCGTGACTAGAGGACAAGTATCTTTGTTTCATGCCTCGGTCACAGTTGGTCACGTGATGGTAAATGTCGCGGAGGTTGCGCAGGCGGCGAGCAAATTAGGCGAGCTAAAAGAAGCCCTTAGAGCTGACGACCTTTCGGCTGCGCAGAACACTCAGCGAGGATTGTTGGAGGACGCAACACACGAGAGACCAGTAGTTGTTATGGTTTACCGAACAATTGTATTCTTCACTACCATTCATGATCTTGACTTGTTTTCCAATAGGAAGGAATAAGAAGTCAACAAGGATGATCTCTCTGAAGAATGTAATGGCGCAACCCCTGCTAAGGTACAGTCGGATGTTGTTGAGGGTCGTGCCTTGGCAAGAGAAGGAGGAGGAGGAGGGCACTCAGCTGCTCTGTTTAGCAGTGGTGGTGCGGAATTTGGGGGTCTAGAATTTGTTCCCGCACGATCAAGTGGTGCGCGTGTGATCCAACAAAGCGGCTACTCTGTAGGCACTCCGGGAACCACGACGAGTGTTAAGCAAAGGACTGAAATAAGTACAAGTACAGTTCGTTGAGCTCCTTGAGCAGAAAATAACAGCCCCTCTTTTATTTAAAACTGATCGATGATAGATAACTATAACTTGCTTGAGCAATGAATTTGAGTTCTTTGAGAGTCTCAAGATCTGAATTTTAGACTCTAAGCTGAATTTGAAATTTTTTGACTCTAAAGTCGGATCTCCTGCTACCCTCGCGAGTCCAGATCTACTTCCGACGCAGAGTATTTCTGGTTCACTGGCACCCAGCATCAGTGTGCCAGCCTTGTCCGACATCGGTGGGTCCTCCATTCCGAAGATTGGAGATAGACTCAGCGAGTGCTCGCTTCGGGGTTTGGCCAAAATCAATGAGCAGCTTGAAGACGAGAACGCGGAATCGCTATCACCTGACAAGCACGACTCAGAGGAGCGGGACGAAGATCGAGAAGTACTTGTTCGAATAAGAGGCCATTTTTGAATAGATTTTACCATGCTGGTGCTGCACGACTGGCTCGTTGGAATGTTGTAATATTCGAGTATTAAAAATATTGATGTTCACGTTGAGGGTGTAGTTGCGGCGGCGTAGTAAAAAATTAGCCGAGATGTAGTGCTTCTTATCTTACTCATGCTGTTACAAGTTTCGCTTTCGTTCCAAAATCAGGATACCCTTCCGAACGTCGGCTTCGCAACGACAGTTGTGCAGAGTTCTTTCGCGGAAGGGGATGACTCGCTGAGCGGGACGTCGAAGACTGGCGAAGCTTCGCCTCTCTGTGCTTCCATGACTAGTAGCTGTGCCACAACTGTGGTCTTGGCTGCAGATTCGGCGGTCGAAGGAGTAGTGCATTCTGGTAGCCCACCTGGCTTGCGCTCCCTTCTGGGCACCTCCACGTCACCACCGGCACCGCTTCGATTAAGGGTTACCGAATTACATCCCGCACTACCCTTCTTGGCTCTTTATTTCCTACCCGAAGAAATGAAGCCAGGGATGTCCCGAAGAGGAGTGTGTTGATCGTAATGCTGCACCCTCTAACTCAGCGGGCCGTGACGTTAGGCACCGCGGCCGGGCCAATGCATGTGACTGTGGCGAAAAACTTCATGAATTCTGGTGATATTCAGGACTCTAGCACATCCCCGCGCCAACCGCAGGCGAGTGTCTTAGGACCAGATGGAGCTGAGCCGCACCCGGGTGGACCGCATACGTACGGAGCAGGTTTTCCCCACGACCGAGGGGGCGTGCCACGGTATGCCTACCCAACGGCACCCGAGCACGTCCATGCTAGTGGTGTCGCAACCATCGGCGGACCTGGAGGTGGACTCTACTATGGTGGCCCTCGTCCACATCCGATAGGCAGGTCACACTCGGTGGCACACTTCCGACCACCTCAAAAACTCTTGGCCACCAAATCAAAGTCACGTCGTAAGTCACGGCATTTGCGTCGATTGCTCTCGCTGCGAGACGACTATGTTAAGGATTTAGTTGTTGATCACTATCTGGTTCTGGTGTGGACTATGCCGAACAGTGGGCTTACCTTAAAAGTTATAAGGGGATGTTGTCATGTGAGAGAATACGGGGAATCGATCCAGATCCACTGCCACGCCACAACGGATAGTGATTGCCTGGCGTTAACTCAGCAGGCAAGTTCATCTTCGCGGGTCTTGACCGTTGCGATGCTCTGGCGGGAGTGATGCTGAAGATCCGCATGTTTCATGGTTTTCTGGCAGACTATCCAAGATATCAAAACAATTAAGGCGCACACGATTTTGAATGAGTGTAAGAAGGATTACTAAAACGGCAAGAAACAAAGAAGTGGAAGGACGAGCATAATTGTGCATTTTAGATTCACCACGCTCGATGGTCGTTCAGGAGCAAGCTCGTCTACTCTTTTCCAATATAATGATGGAGTATCAACAGGAGCTCTATCGAGGACAAAACACAGTCAAAATTTTAACGTCTAAGACCGAGTTCTCCTAGTCCAGTGTGTGTACCCCAGTACGACCAGTATGCTTCCGGCAGACGGACGGAACAAACTCGTGGAAGCACTTCAGGGCTTGGTAACTGAAGTAAATGACGCCTTTGGAGAGCACATTCTACTGATCACAGATGAGGTCGAACGGGACGAAAAATTGGCCTTGTTCCGCAGCGCCGATGTTTTGGTGGACACCCAGGTCCGAGACGGTCTCAATCTCGGCCCTTTCGAGTTTTTGGCTTGCCATCAGGACACTAGACGGGTATTCACCGTGATTTTGTCGATGGTTCTTCGTTTTAGTTGTTGATGAGAACTCGTCGTTTTTCCCTCTCTCTCTCTTTGTCAATGGAAAGATAACATAGAATAAACCTACTAGTACCATCCTGAAAATAGGCATCGTTGATTCTTTCGGAGTTTACGGGTTGCTCGCGTGTTTTGCAGGGCGCTATCCAAGTGAATCCTTGGAATACGCAGCAGGTGCAAGCTGCTTGTGATCGATGTTGTAGGATGGCAATCGCAGAGCGCGTCGAAAGGTAGCGCATGTGGATTTTTTTAAGCTTGCTTCAGTATTAATACAGCAAACCAGCCTTTTAGATAGTCTCCGTCTCAATTTTTCAACACGATCATGATCTGCAATTATTGTCAAACCAAGATCGCTACACTACAACCTTTTTTGTTTTATACACTCTAGACGCTGCCAAGGCCTACGCCTACAACCTTTTTTATTTACTCTAGAAGATCAAGTAGTAGTACACCTGCAGCTACAACATGCATGCATAGTTGTCTAGTGAATACATAGCAATAGTATCTTCGTCCGTTTAGTGGACGAGGAGGCAGTAAGAAGGGCAACTCCACCAATTTTAGGTACACGATCGATATGGATTATTGCAAGAACCATTCTCTTTTGAAGTGGGCTTTAGGGTTTTTGCAAGATTTACGGAGTGCCAGGAAAAAAGACGAGTACAGCTATATCTGCTACGGATTCGGTGCGAATTACAGACTGATGTCCCTAGACGCACAGTTTAGAAAATTGGAGACCGATGACGTGATCCAGTCCTACCGAACCAGCCGGACGAGCCGCGTCTTCTTTTTGGATAATGTTATGCTACAACGAGAAGGCCTAGGAAGAGTTCAATATTTTAGAACGTTGATTTGATAGATGTTGGAGTTCGTGGCATTTGCATGAACCAATTGAAGAAGCGTTTCGTCCTGTAAGACTCACTTGTGCCCACAACATAGGAACTTGCTTGAAGTTTATTTTGCATCCGTCCTCTTTTTGCAAAGGTCCTCTGAAGCAAGCTAGTTCCCCTTCTCCTTTGAAGTTGTTAGTTCTCCTCTCTTTCATGCCCAAAGGCACCTTGGCAGCGGATCTGCGACATTTGTACTCGCGTCGGGGCGCCGCACCGACGAATAGCGAGGAGTTGAACTCGAAAGGTGCACCGCCCAGGGAGAGTGTCCTCCAATGCCTTAGAGAATTATCAAGGGATCCGAAGAACATTGTCGTGGTCATCAGTGGGAGAAGTAAGACGCAAATGCAAGATTGGTTTGCGTCTGTGCCTAATATCGGTCTCGCTGCTGAACATGGCTGGTGCTACAGGTTGCCGAGCATTTCGGGGGACGACTGGTAGTACTTACTACCTGCATAGTAATATTGTAGTAAGTACTTGCATAGTAATATTTGTAATTCGCTTGGGTGTAGTAAGTACTTGCATAGTAATATTAATTTGTAATTCGCTTGGGTGTAGTAAGTACTTGCATAGTAATATTTGTAATTCGCTTGGGTGTAGTAAGTACTTGCATAGTAATATTAATTTGTAATTCGCTTGGGTAGAAGATGGACATGGAGTAGAAGAAATAGTTAGTACAAGAACTCCCTAAGCTGGTCAATAGATTTTTTGTTCAACATTTGAATTGAAAATTTGTTTACAAGGCCAATGCGATTGTTTACAAGGCAAGGGCAACCTAATCAAAGGCTTTGATTAGGTTGCCCTTGCCTTTGGTCCTCAAGAAGAAAACTTCACGATATCTTCAGGTATGTTACGTCACAGGGGGTGGAAAACGGCAAGGACAGTACATGGAAGAAAATAGTTTTCGAGCTTTTAAAGCACTATGTGCATCGCACGCAAGGCAGTTACATCGAGAACAAGGGCTCAGTTAAGGGTTGTTGGGACATTCTCCATTATTTAGAAGCCTTCTTCATCTTTGTTTACTCGTGATATTTAACTTATTACAAGAAAAGATGTTGCTTATAAGACGTAAAGATAAAGAACGAAGGCTTGTAGAAATGAATTGAAATTGTCTCAGCCTCTTCTAACTCAGCATTAGTATGGACGTATCGCGACTCCGATCCTGAATTCGGGAGATGGCAAGCGAAGGAGCTGTCCCAGCATTTGCGTGAGTTCATGTTTGCCTTCCCAGTCGAGATCGTAGAAGGGAAAGGCTACCTAGAAGTCAAACTTGCGGGAGTGAACAAGGGATCGGCAGTGTCGAAGATTCTGTCAAATTATGGCGATTCTTTCTCAGAAAGCGGGCAAGAGATGACAACAGTCAAGGATAGAAGGTCGATCTTGATGTGATTTTGTATCTACTACAGGTAGTACGTCGAAGATATGTTTTTGTTTCTACGTTGGTAGGTAGTTAGGGGGTTATGAACACTATCAAGTACTGGGGACACTATCAAGCACTGGGGACACGATGAGGTACTGGGGACACGATGAGGTACTGCGGACACTATCAAGTATTGGGGGCACGATGAGGTACTGTGGACCCACACGATGAAGAACGTTCGTCTACGCCAACGAAAGGGAAACAAAGGGATCTTCTTCTCCTTCTAATCTCAGATTTCGAAGATTCGGGGAGAGCCGGATTTCATCCTTTGTATAGGCGACGACCGCTCGGACGAAGACATGTTTCAGGTTATAAATGCTTAAGGCTGTAGATAATGCTTTCATCTTTGAGAGGGGGCTCAATGTGAAGGATCCATAACCTAACCTAACCTAAGACCTGGGGCGGCCATACAGTCTCTACGGTGGTCTCGAGTGGCCGTATAATGAGAAGGACACACTTGACATCGTCCTTGTGCTGAAAGTGATCATGCACAGTTCTAAAATGCAATGCGGGATGAGCGCGCAGGTCCAGACAGCTGCAGTACGACCGATGAGACGGCTTCGGATAGTAGTACCTGGCGTCAGCAACGATCTAGCTCCATTATTGGCGGCCTCTGTAATCTCGGAAGTGACCAGATGAACGGTGCTGGCAAGCGAACGGGTATATCATTTCTGAAGTACTAAGTGCCTGCCGAACCCCAAGCACCGTGACATTGTGATTTTGGTGTACAGATAAGATAAATTGATGCATGGAAAAAGTAACAAAAAATGATCAACGGGCGATTATATCCTCTACTACAATCGAACACCAGCTTATTTTTCGTGCACCGTGGGTCAAAAACCGTCCAAAGCGAAGTACTTTTTGCATGACGTGGATGAGGTGAGCGATCTGATAGATCAGTTGCGGTGTTGCGTGCAATGGAGCCTGCAAAGAGATGGCGATGAGCTGAGGGCTGCCAAAGGACTCGCCAATCTGCGCTTCGGGGAGCCTGTTGCAAGGAGCGCAACCTCACGATCTGGAGCCTCGGTTGTTAAGGCCGCTTACTTGCTTGATACGTTTCTTTTCTTTGAAAACATTCATATACTTTTTTGATTCATCATGATATTGTAGTACTAGTTCTTCTAGAGGCAAAAATTGGAACCACATCAGGGTGCTAAACCGGTAAAGTTGGTGGTACAACTTGAACTTATTATATTTCGAAAATGATGACTCACAGGAAGACGAGTTCGTCCTCTAAAGCACTTTGTTCCGGAGGTGGACTTACTTCTGAGGGTACTTCTTCTACACGACCGTCTTCTACGTTGACAAGCAAGAGCACCAGCAAGCTGAGTGGAAGTAGCGGTGGTGATGTACCTGCAGGAAGCAATAGCAAAAAGTTAGTAAGTAGTAAAAGACCACCAGAAGTAGATGTCGAAGAAGTTGTGATACGACAAGGAGACGGGTACGACACCAGAGATGATTCTACTTCTACTTCTTCCGATGAAGATGATGGAAAGGATATTAATTACGGCAGTACTCGAGGAGATGAACAACAACAACGTGGAGACAAATCCCATTTTTATGGTTTGCCACATTGCAATCTGCGCTATCATTCTTGGCCGTTTTTCAATGGGGAACGAAACAAGTCAAGGATGGTCTGAAGAATGCAATGTCGCAACCTCTAGCATTTGCCGAACGCGTATCGCGGACGGGTGTCCTCTGGGTCTAGTACAAGAGGCACCACTAGAAGAAGAACTCGCCAAGATGAGAAGATAGACACTTGTTCCCGAAACGTGGAGTCTCGGAATCATGGAACAAATCTCCGAAGCACACGCAATTCGTCGGGAGAACAGCGAGGACCATGTGCGCGCGTGCATCCTGCTGCTCAACATCGTTATGAAGAATCTGACGAAGAGCAGGACGATGACTTTTGCCGCGACGACGGGACTGCGAGGTCACCACCAGGACACGACGCTGAGCAGCATTTTTCAGAAGAGCATTCGGAGCACGGTGGAGGTGTCACGGAGATCAGGCAAGACATGCACTCTTCCAGCGATGAAGATTCCTTTTCTCCAGCAAGTAGAGGTGGTAACTATGGTTAAGGCTCCATACATTTCACTCCTAAAAGTCACTTGCATTTCTCATTCGTGCCAGTACCTTGTTCAGCTTCGAGAGCGGCGGTCATCTCTTGGTCCTCGACATCTTCTTTTTCTACAACATCTTTATAAATATTTTAAGTGGATGCTTCCGGTCTTTGGTATAGCCTGAGTTTGATCATAAGGGAAAACAAGAAGAGAACCCTTAGATGATCCAATTCAGGCTATACCAAAGACCGGGGCCATCCATTAAATTTTAGGGTTGGGAGAACAGATGTTGCAGGCAAAAAGTGAAATGTTTTGCGCTCTAATATGGGGAAAATCATGGGAAGCCTCTGTCTCCCCGTAACTCTCTTCCACCGCCGAAGTACACCCGCCAGAGTGCGTCGTCGTCTTGTAGCACCGCGCTCACTCCCGACCAGCGGGAGACAGTGGTAGTAGACTCGAACTGAGGAATCGACTCCATCAACAAGGGAAACGGAGTACAACTCAGAAGCATGATAGGCGATTCACGTGGAAAAGTAGTCATAGGAGTAGGTGAGGCCGAGCCTGAGGCGCTAGTGCTTCCAAATATCATGCATGCTCCCGAATAGTACGATGGTTTCAGTTTTTGAGCTTTTGATGCAACTCGATAGGAACCTCCTATGTATATTTACTAAGTAAATTTTTATTGTTAAGCGTAGAGAAAGTTAGAACGAGATGCAGAGGGTAAAAGCACTATTGGTTTTTCAACGTCTAAGAAATATGCTCAATAGAACAACAGGAGCTTGTTGTTCATGTGTATAATTTCGTAAATGTCCCCTTTATTTTCTTGTATAAATTCTCAGTCTGTCTTGAGTTCCCCTAGGGTTTGGTCTCAAAGCTGATTTGGCAAGTCAGATTGGAGACACATGACATGATGTTACTGTTTTCGTCAATTGGCCGTATTTACTAACTATATGATCACTGTGCGTTATTGAGTGCTTACTTGTTTCTACTTGTAGTTTTTCAAAACTTTCTGACTAGTTCGGGTCAACAGACGGCACGCCGCCACATGGCTCAAGAATGCTGACGTCGTGTATTCCCATCATCTTCGGATTCGAACAGGTGCCGGCGGAGCTCGATGTGAAGGATCCATAATCTTACCTAACCTGCCTGCACCTCTGAGGTAGTGTCACTTCGTTCTAATGAGCAGCCGGTGCGAAGCTTCATAGACGACGTGTCGTAGTGTCACTTCGTTCTAATGAGCAACCGGCGCAAAGC